AGCAGCTCAAGCTCTATCCGATGATGTAAAAAAAACGCGAAAAAAAATTTTCACTTGAAATTCGCATTGCCGGCACCTTACAATAATTGAGAAGAAATATAAACTGTTTTATTCTTTATTCGTACACCTTAACACCATCATAGAAAATAATTGTAATCTTGAAACCGATTAAAAGAATAATATAGATATGCGTTGACAGAAGTTCTTTCTCGTAAAACATCTCAACAAGTGTGAGAATCTCGATAAAGTGGTAGTACAAATCAATGTACAACAATAGTTGCCTTTAATTCTATTCAATATCGAAAAAAACAAAAAAATATTATCCAAAAGAGAAATTATCGATCAAGGTTCTTTTTTCATTTAATATACATATCGTATTTACATATGGATTATTACATTACTACGCATGAATAGAGAATATCCATTCTTGATTGATTATTGTTTATTTTAACATGCATATAATTCTTAAAACAATATATTTATCTAAATTTATATGAATATTTTTTAAATTTTGTCATAACCTTTTTTTTTAGTAATATCAGAAGTGATATCATTACCGAAAATCTATGACATCTATCTTAGGTAATAAAATATGTAACAAAGTGCTACCCTCTACTATCAATACATATTGAAAGTAGCGTCAGAACAAGTATCTATTATTGCTTAATAAAAAAATTAAAACAATACCAATCAATTGATTTGTTTTCTTCATATTGGATACCTACTATTTTACCTGTATATATCTCTTATATGATAAATAAAAGGTAAAAATTATTGATCTTATCTGTTTAGTCGGAAGTGGTCTCTCTCACTTATCATTAAATGTTCATATCAACATCAAACCGATCGTCCAACGGGTATAATTTACCGTTTAATTTTTGTTTTTAATTTATTATGTCGCTTTATAAAAAAAAAAATATATATATAATCAATTAAATAATTTCATTCATGATTTAGTTTGTTATTTCGCGTCATATATCAATGCTTATATATTTTTGAAAATTATTCATTAATAAACTAATCATTTTTATTAATAGTAAATAAAATTGAGTTGGAATTTTGATTAAATTTTTCTTTTTATTTTTTATATCTCGTCAGTAATGGTACATCTGATACAGAAATGCATGAATTTGTAACAACTACAAATAATGAAGAAAATTGTACTAGAACTCAACGTACTGAATCAACTAGTTCAAATGATAGTCTTCCTAATAAATTCAAAATACGAGTAAGAATAAAAAAAGAATTACAACAAAGATTAAAAATTAAAATTAATATTTTCTTTTTTTTTTTGTGTATGTGTATTTTTGTAGCAATTATTATTAAATGCAACTATTCCAATAATTCAATGTCGACATATTATACCAATCCGTCGTCAATTGTCTCATTTGAACAAAAAACTAAAATTAAATCCTAATACTACTAATAATCAAGATAAAAATAAAGGATATCTTATGGTTGAAAAATTCAATTCAGATTTTATTGTATTACCAAATGATAGTATTGATCAAGATGTAATACAAAATACTCGATCATCTATACAAATAAATGAAACTATACTCGATTGTAATTCAATTGGATATCCATCAACAATATCAAATACAAATAATCTTTTAGAAACACAACACATATTATTTGATTCATGTATAACACCTATTCATAATCGTTAGTTGATATTTCTAATCAACGCAATAAAAAATTTTCTTTCGCTGTCTATTTAAGGTTTAAATGATACATTCAAAGATCTATCAATACAATCAAATGTTAACATTCATGTACCTATAGATAATCTTTTAAATATTCATGATATACAAAGATCAGATACAATATCAACACAATCATCATTGATTTCAAATGATTCAAATCATGAATATACGGGGATTAATCGATTACTTCTTAGTGATTCTGAATATAGTAATGTATCTCCGATATGTGAAAAAAAACGAAGTTAACTAAATTTACAAAAATTCAAATTTTGTTATATAATTTTATGTGAAAGTTAAGATGAACTTTCTAACTGTAGAAATTTTGATATATATATATATAAAACAATCAAAATTGAGTTCTATTCATTAAATATCAATGTATATTGTTAATCAAATCAGGTTATAAGAATTTTGGATAGAACCGAAATTTACTTCATCAATCATAATAAAACTGCCTTATGCCTAAGAATAATTGATACATAATCAAGTAAATCTCTTCAGCTCCCTTCTTTCGATGTCAATGATTTTTTTGTCTATAGATACTACATAGTATTTTAATAAGAGCTTCAAAAGGATTTAGTGTTGTATTGACATTTAAAAAAGGGTATCGGATTTTGATTTGGAATTATGTGCATGTGGAGAACTCAACTAGATTAGCTTCAAAGGAGAAAAAGCAAGACTCCCGTACTTACGCTGTACAGGAAAGTATAGTCATACAAGGAAGTACGCACAACGGAAGTCTCGCTTTTTCCGTCTTGACTTGTTTCCATGGAAAAATTCAGAAGATTCAAATGAAGTCTATTCAAAATATGAAGCTGTCAAAAATACATGTTAGATAAACTTTGCATGGAAAAGGATCTATATTTTCAAAATCTCATATCTCAAAGAGATTTTGTTCAAAATTTGCAAACTTTTTTTTTTAATAAAAGCTAGTCTAGTTGAGTTCTCCATATGTACAAATTTTCAGAGCAAAATTTGATAGCTTTGTCAAATGTCAATAGGAAATTAAGCCAAAAAATCATTGAAATTGAAAGTGCGAAGTTGAAGAGGTTCCGTTATGGGTATCATTAGGTACTCAGGAATGTTTCAGCTAATCATAGAAATAAGACTTTCTATGATGATTAATCCTTGAGCGACTAATGACGCATCTATGCGTCATCAATGTTATCATCATGTAGAATAGACACCCTCATTTATATTGCATATTTTTTCGATATATTTGCGAAGAAAAAAACAAACATTCGAACAGCAGAAATTTTTCGTATTATCATTTTTTTTATGGCTCATGTTATGTTAGACTCATACGTGAATTAGTGAAAGTATGCAAGATGTAAAACAATTCTGTTCCACCCACGTGAATTTTTTTTGTGGGTAATCAAAGGATTAATAAGATAAAATTTTGTCGAGTTTCATATTTCCATGACTTGTCGATGTGGGCTAAAAGTCAATATTAGCTTTGAAAAAACCAAGTTCAGTTAATATAAAAGCTATTTCAGTCACAGATACACAAAGAATTTCACCTAGACCCATTCTATTCTAGAAAAAGTAGAAATCCAAGAAAGTAATCAATTAAAAGAAGAAATAAATACTATTCTAGAATCTATCACACTTCTCTTGCGGTGTACAGTTTAAGTTTACTGACCACCGATTTAGGATAGTTACTGCACATTGGTATTAATAATCACCAAACCATAGGAACATACTACTACCAAAAAAAGACATATTTTAATAAAATTCATGACAAGAGAAAATAGCAGACACTTCAATTTTGAAGCCTTCTGTAATTCTACGAAGTCTTTTAACACTTTTCTCTATAATCGCTTTTCCATCGAATTTTTCGCTTGTTCTATTAGATCAATTCAAATCTGATGAAAATTCGGTAGTATGATTTCTCTATTTGACAAGACACCATAGTCTATTTAACTCAGCAAGTATTAAAAAATCTAATTGAAATGCAACGATAGTATTTGAAAAATATGAATTTATTTATTTTTTTGTTAATTCTGAAGTTCTAATTTTCACTTTTTTTTTATTTTTATAGTTCAAGGCCAAAGAATGGATCTTGAATGTCTTACTATGTTTGAAATAGATGTATCTAATGAACGTGATTCTCTTGAAGAAGATCCAGATGTAAATAATAATTTTAAAAATAAAATATAAATCAAACTCTTATTATTTTAGGATGAATTAGAATTTAAACGTTTGTATGATGAAGCATTAAAAAAAAATTTAAAACTTAAACAAGAATTGAAAACATTAAAAGGTTAGATCAATTATTTTTCAATAATTCATATTTATTCTCTTTTTTATTCTTATCAAAGAATATCATCTAATGAATTCGTCATGGGTATGTGAATTTTGTACTACGCTTAATGAATCTTATATTAAAACATCATGTGATGTATGTAAAATATGTGAAAGTGCAAGTCCATTGAAACGTGGTAAATAAGATCGTATTGAAAATTTGTAATTTATTAGTAAAATGTCTTTTTTTTTTGTTTTTCATAATTTTAGCTACGCTAAGCAAATAATTTTGATAAATTCTATTTAATTTTATTCTTATTTTTCGCATTTAAATTAATTAATTAATAAATTATTCACAATTTTGTGTTGTTGCGCTTTTACAATGAAATATATCGATATAGATCGATATAAAACTAGATTGCTTTTATTTGTTAAGACTATTTTGAATAGAAAATGAACATTAATTTATTTTAGATTATCATGTCATCATCACATGATGATATAACAAATCTTAATAGTGATAATATATTGATACAAAATGCGTCCAATATGGCTCAAATAGATGATAAAAAAAATATGAACAACACACAAGATAATATAATTCAATCAAATGATAGTGATTTACAACATGAAATTCCAATGAATTTATTACCGGCTGGTAACTTGAGAAATTTTCAATTTTCTAACATACGATAGATTGAAATAAAAAAAAAACAATAAAAGAATAGATTTAACATCCTGCAAAAAACAGCTCTATATAAATGTCTTTAATAACATAATCTATTTCATATAAACAATTGAGAATATGTGTTACTTCACATTGCAAATGTTTGGCAATATCTAGTCTATATGTAATAGCTGAAAAAAAACAAGATTAAGAAAAAAAAAAAGGTGCTTTAAAATACTAATATTTGAGCGCTTGAATAATCATTAATATTACATTTAACAAAAAAAAACATTGCTAATGATTTAAATTCTAACTTGCTGAACTAACAACTTGTTGTGATTTTTTAAATGATTACATTTGTAAACGAATACTTTCGATTAGATATTGCTTTTTTTTATAGTTTTATAAATTCATGTATTTCCGATGTAAACTATTGTTTGACATATTAGAAATTCTTTTAAAAAAATAAATTAGTATATTTAATATTTTAATATCATAACCAAATATAAACTTCAATAATTTTTTTTTTGTCTATATAAACAATTTGCATCTTTTTAGTTTCTTATTTCATTTGTGCATGTCTACATATCTACTTCTATATGTGAGCAGTTAAATATAATATGCTAACTTGATTAGATTTTGCTGACAATATATATATGATTATTTATGATTAATTTGTATCATCGCTCTATTGAAATTTATAATAATGTCAATAATTATTGGATGATTCTTTCGCGAGTATACTAGAGTTTATATTGACTTCAGTTGAATGGGGTAAAACTTTTTGAAATAGTACAACTTGAAATTATGATCTAAAAAAAAAGAAACATTTTCAAAAAGTTTTAAAATAATGCCGTGATAGTTTTCGATCATCAAGTCAAGGAGCATCCTTAGTTAAAGTCTGATTTCTAGAATCTCTATTTTCTTTACATTGAAAAGTTAACTTTTTCAGTATTTTAAAAGCAATATTTAATGATTTTATATGTGTTAGAATCGTCTTTAAACATAGGATTCTGACTAGAGGAAAATCTTAAATTTGAAATATTCTTGATATAGACTATTAAAAAAAATGTATTTATTTTAATAGATAATGAAATTTGAAAATTCATCGAAACACCTTCTCCCTTCCCAAATTCTTCTACTAAGCGATCGAATTTGATTTTAAAGCTTTTCAAGTTTTATAATTGAATAGTACATGTTCAAAGACGATTCTAACACATAGTAAATCAATAATTCATTTTTGTTATTTATTGAAGAAACTGTACTTCCAAAATCTCGACAAAGTTCATTTTTATGAGAGACTTTTTAATAAAAAAGAGAACACGAAGAAAAAAAATATTTTCACTTAATAAAATCATCAGAGATAGATAAACTCTAGAAATCAAGTTTCCGTTGAAAATACTTTTTGAATTGATAGTCGAAAACTATAACAATATGCTTTTAAAATTGAAATCAATGCATTTGTGTATGCTTTGTGAAAGAATTGCTCTATTGTTATTACACTTTTTTTTGTCTGTTAATATAGATAAACATCCTTTTTGGAACAATTCTGCAGAAAATCGTGGAGGTATTGAAGATGCACCACAACTTGAATATGATGAACACGATATTCATTTAATTGCCGATCGAGGTAAATTATTATCGATATAATTAATAGATTTCTTAACATAAATTTCATATATATCTCTAAAGAAGTTGAGGATGATGATCCATTAGAATATGGTAAGAATAAGAAGTTAGATAAATCAATTAACTATTTTACTGACTGGATATAACTCTTAAGCTTTATTGATTTTTTTTTGCTGCACGATTCTTCTCTTAGATAACGCCGATTTTCGGCAGTATCTTCATTTTGACAATCACCAACATGATTTTGTTTTAAATAACAAGAATAATATTGGTGATGGTAAATAACGCTTTCTTTTTTTTTTCTTTTTTTACTTACTAATTCTTTCATTATATTTCAATAATATAATTTATAAATTTTATATTTAGATATATCTGCATCAGGTATAGGAGACACATCGAAAAACCAAGGCATCATTAAAGGCCATATAACATCTGATGGAATAATTGATGATGATTTTGAATCGGAATTAGGTGGACGTGAAACAACAGTTAGTAAAATAATAAGGATCTTTTTTAATCTATAAATATATTTATTTATGAAGGAGTTTCATGATACAGAAGATCCTGATTATAATTTACTAAGAAAAATTGCTGATTATGGAATAATTGAATTGTGTGGTGAAGATAAATTTGGTCGAAAAACAATTGTTTGTTCAGCATGTCGTTTACCACATGAAGATATAATAAAACATAGTGAATTTAAAACAGTTGATAAATTTTATAATTGTTTATTAAAGTAAAATTTTTTTTTCCTTTTTTCCAATTAAACTTAAACAATATTTTTTTTTTTTTGTTTTCAAAAGATATATTTTAAGAACATTTGATCAATATGTTGATATGGATTATGTAATTATTTATTTTCATCATGGTTTACGTTCATATAATAGACCATCATATGGATGGTTATTAAATGCTTATTTTCATTTGGATCGAAAGTATGATTTATAATTTTGAACCGATTGAATTTGTTTTTACATTTTTTTTTCATCATTTTAGATATAAGAAAAATTTAAAAGCATTATATATTGTTCATCCAACAAAATGGATTAAATTTTTATGGCCATTTCTTCGTTCAATAATAAGGTAAATAATCGTATATTTTCATATAAGTGTTTTTTTATTTATAAAGGTTTTCTTTTTTATAAATTTAAGTGCAAAATTTTCAAGTAAACTTATTTACATTAATCGTCTTGGTCAATTAATGGAATATGTTCATATGGATAATATTAAAATTCCACCAGAAGTTAAAGCGTATGTTTTACTATTTTCTTTTAATTCTATTTAAATAATGATTTAATTTAGTATTGATCCAATTATGCCAATAGAAATACCACCAGCAGAAGTAAAACCAACAATGAAATTTCATGTTTCACTTCAATTGTAATTTCATATAACAAACAAAAAAAAAAAACATAAAGTTTAATTATAATTGAATGATGTTTTTTTTTTTTTTATGCATAGTATTCTTGATCATGAACCAGGTGAAACAATACCGATGATTGTTCGACAAACAATTGATTATATTAAAAGTGTTGGTAAAGAAAAATTTTATTTTTTTTTTGTTTTTTTTTTTGAAGAGAATTAACAAAATTGAATTATTTAGGACTTAATGAACCAGGAATATTTCGTCGAACAACACTTGTTTCATTAATTAAACAAGTACAAGAAAAATATAATCGAGGTTAGATAGAAATGAGAATTTTTTTTTTTTTCTTTTTATATGGATTTATTCATGAGAATATTTCTAGGTGAACCAGTTGTATTTCAACAATATGGTGATGTTCATTTGGCAGCATGTATTTTAAAAACATTTTTACGTGATTTAACTGAACCATTAATGACATATCGTTTATATCCTGAACTTCTTGGACTCTCAGGTAGTGAGTATATGATTTACACATATATATTGGTTTTCGTGTGAAAATTATGTGTTGGCCAAACCTACTCAATTCTCTTCTATGCTTATAAATGCGGTACACATATAATTTATATGGCACTATTCCTTTGTTTTGCTTTTATTAAGGGACGTGTGCGCTTCTTCTTTGTTTATATTACACATTAAAGTTTTCTTTTTTTTTTTGTAATTTTAATTTGATTGATATATTGTTTTTGTTTTTCATTTAGCACTTAAACGACACAATCAAATTAATGTTATTCGAGATTTGATTATTGAAAAATTACCAACGGAAAATTATCATATTTTAAAATATCTTATTGAATTTTTAAATTTGGTAAGAGTTTTTATTTGATAGAATATAATTCTATTTAAACAAGATGTCGACAATGTAGAATTCGTACAAAATTTTCTGTCTCGTTGGAATAAAACTCCTGTAAAAATGTTGTTTTCATAGTGAAACTCCTAAAAAATTAGATTTTAAGAAAAATATAAAAGCCTATATAAATTGAAATATGTCAAAACCATAAAGTTTCGGTAATTTCAATGTTTATCCGAGTTTTTGTAACACGGCCTAATACAATCACAGACCATATATAAATTATTTTCTTATTACATTTCTTCTAAAGGATTAAGTATAAGAATGGTGAAGAAATGTGTTCCAAGATGGACTTTTTGTGGAACTCACGTATATTTTCGAAGAAAATAGTGAGTGTAAGTTTTAAATTCAAGTTTTTGCGGCTCCCCCTCTCCCTTCCGCCCCATTATAGACATATAGCAACGTAGGCTTCCGTTACAGACATCAGCAACCATATACAAAAGGCTTCAGATTTATTTAACAATAGAAAAAAACTATTTTTCAGTTTACAAATGATACATTAGGATAACAAGTTTGAAAGATATACGTGGATTTCACATTTTAGCTCCAAAGAAGCTGTGCTAACAAACTTCTTTTTTATTATTTTTCTCATCATATGATTACGAAAAAATTTCAGTATCGAATCACTAACACCTT